ATAGCTGATGGTGATTATATGTGCGCTCCAGTCAACATGTCATTTAACGATACTAGTTAAAAACATTTACCACAGAAGCTAATATATTGACTTTAATAACATTTTATAGCTGATGGTGATTATATGTGCGCTCCAGTCAACATGTCATTTAACGATACTAGTTAAAAACGTTTACCACAGAAGCTAATATATTAACTTTAATAACATTTTATAGCTGATGGTGATTATACGTGTGCCCCAGTCAACATCGCCTTACAATTAATATGATTTTTCCTTAATATATATGATTTTTCTCAAAATGTTTTTTGGTCTAAAATGCACAATTATTTGCATTTAGTATATATATATATATATATATATTAGTACAAAGTGCATCAAAGCAACACAGGAAATCAGAAAATTCGTTTATTGTTTACGTAAGAGAAGTATAGACATCAACACAATGAACTAACAATATTATCACCAATGAATCTATCAACTACTTCCGCATTTATTCTAGATGAAAATGAACTGTATTTATGAGCACTGTTGCTTTTAGCCAACTAATAAATAGGTGATTACCAAATGTTCAGCATAGTCACTAAAAAAATCATACAGGAAGGTAATTACAAACTAGAAACACACAAGAATCGATAATTCCAGTAACATCGATAGAGAAACTTTATTTTACTGCATGTGATGAGTAAATTGGATTGTAAACATCATGTTTGAATCATGGTCGATCTTAGTTTTCACTGTTTCAGAAATTTACGAATGCGCGGAATGTCAGCCATTCAATAATATTGTGTCATAGTATGTCTTTGAAAAATCAGGAATTAATTAATACTATTTTAGTTAGAGCTACAGTGTCACTTGTAAAACTGTGTTAACTTAAATTTACATCTTTAGCACCGAAACTTTTTGTAAAATGACACACGTATATTATCGTAAAACGTCAATGCAACTGGCAAGTTGTTTGAATTTGAATATTACTGTAATCGCGTGCAATAATAGAAACTACGTCTTTTGTGTATGTGTGCACTCGAGCAGGCATTAACTCTAGCAACTGTTGTAAGGACATTCGATCTTATGGTGCGTACAGGGCCTTGAATTATCCAAGGTAATTCATGCCTGGGCTTTATTTTCCTGAAAGGGGCCGAAGGCCACCTGGAGAGGTCACCTGTTGTAACCACACCCACCACAATACAGTAGCGCGTTGTCTATCAGTCAGTCAGTAGACACTAAAATGGCGTCACATAGGGGACTCTTAACGTTGCACTTTGTACTGTCGTGACGTCAGTAAAGCACATGCATGCAATGAATTACTAGAAGTATTATTCACTCTGTAGGGTGCAACACAGCATGACATATGAACTCCAAAAGAAGAAATAAAAGAATTTGTTACTCTTAATTTTGGTTTCACTCTTGAAACAGAACACTTTTGGGGACCCTGCGGATGTACATCTAGTATGTATATATATATATATATATATATATATATATATATATATATATATATGTTGTTGTTGTGTTCGTTCGTTTATTATAGTATATTATATATAGTATATTATTACTTCTTCTTACTTACTATAGTATACTACTACTACCTACTACGTAGTAG